GCTCTAAACCATGATTTAAAATATAAACCATGTACTATATACAGATAATCCTCAACAAAGGTAAATTGGAACCATGAAATTTCTGTCACCAAGCTATATGGTTGTGAAACATGATGTGACATGATGACATGGCTTAACAATAGAAATACTGGCACTTCCAGTTGCTGATGTTAAGTGACTACTATGGTCATTAAGTGAGAACTATGACTTATTCAGCATTCTCGTAAATTTGAATGGTTGCAAAATAAATGGTTAAGTGAGAACTCACCTGTAGCTTCAGGTAAATATTTGTATGAAAAACATAGTATTGTATAGTCTTCATTCCTTGTGAAAAGCACACAAGTCATTGTCTTCCACAAGCAATTTTATCCCCTTTCTAATATTGAGGCATTTTACCATTTTAGAATAGCACCTCCCAACCATTACAGTGTCATATCTTGACACTCAACTGCTTCAAAACTCTTCAAATTTGGTATTCAACACATTTTGAAGCAGAAATCTTGTCCCAGCACTCATCTTTCTCCCGGTATTCGATGCATAGGGACGCATTGCTGACATCGGCTGCCTCATGACTTGTTATTTCTTCTAGCCGAAATAGCGGGTCACACGGTAAGTCATTATTTTTTTGGTACCCGTTATTTTTAGTATTCATCACATCTTCCAGAACAATACCATAGAGCCTTGGTAGTACAGGGGTTTAAGGCACCCTGTTATTAAGCTGGTTATTAAGACCAGCTGCCTGCAATTACTGCAGGGTTCGAATCTCGCCAAGGCTCAAGGTTGACTCAGCCTTTCATCCTTTCTAAGGTAGGTGAAATGAGGACCCAGTTTGTGGGGGCAATAAGCTGACTTTGTATAAATATACAAAAGGATGAAGGCTATTGCTGAGCACATTGTAAGCCGCCCTGAGTCTTCGGAGAAGGGCGGCATATAAATCAAATTAAAAAAACAAAAACAAAAAACAAATTACTGACGAGTATCGAGGTACCACTGTATTATGATACAATAAATGATATAAAGTCATTTGCATAATTTATTTAATTTTAATTTTTAAAACTCATTTAAACTTGTAATCATTTGAAAGAAAAGAGTCTAGTATGAGTCACATGAAGACATCTATTACTACTACTGCTACATCTCCTTGGAATGTTGTTATACATGTTTCTCCCATATAGCTCTGGAATTAGTGGATTTCAAGTCATATTGTTTCCTGTTTATAATTAGTGTTCTTCTTAAAAGTACAAAGTGATTGCGTTAACAATTAAAACTTTACTTACAAATAATTAAAAGCTTTAATACTATCTAGGGGCATATTGTAAACTTCTGGTCCCATAGTTAATGTGATACCCACTTGAAAACATAGTATTTGTAAAATATAAACTTATTTGTATAGCTATAAAAGTACACAAGCATGCTAAGCAAAAATTATTTATTGGACTTGTAAAGTGGTTAAATGGCAAGATGGTGAACAAAGCAAAAATTGAGATAGGGAGAGCAGTAAAAAGGGGTAAAAACTGAAATTGTGATACATGGGTTGTATAGCTGTAATTAATAGAAAATATGGGGGATGAAAATGTGTAGATATTAATACTGTTTCATATTGTGAAGCTAGAGTGATTATAGTTTTTCAGGTATGGAATGTAAAGTGCTAAATTTTCTTTTGAGTTAGTAATCAAGTACTGTATTTTCCGGCGTACAAAACGACTGGGCGTATAAGACGACCTCCAACTTTTCCTGTTAAAATATAGGGTTTGGGCTATACTCGCCGTATAAGACTACCCCTCTTCCAACGCACACCAAATAAAAATTAAAAAACATCAACTGGCTCACCCACAATGTCAAAGCAGCTGTGCTAGACCCAAAATGGCCCTTGCAACAAGCAGGAACCTCACACAGCCACAAAAAGCCCAAAAAAACAACTTTCACACTTTACACACACAAAATTCCACATACAGCTTTGTGAGATTTTGTGTGTGTGTGTAGTTAGAGTGAAACACTACAGAAACACACTAAATCTCAGAAAGCTGCACAAATATTATTTTTATTTTATTTTTATTTTTATATGAAAACTAAATTTAAAACTTCCTAAACTTTAAATGGCTAGGTCTAAAAAAGAACAACTAAAAAAAACCCCAATTAACTTTTTTTTTTAAAGCTCCCAAAGGGGAAAAAAAACTTACCCAATAGAACAGGGTCTCCAACCTTGGCAACTTTAAGACTTGTAGACTTCAACTCCCAGAATTCCTCAGCCAGCTTTGTTTTGCTGGCTGAGGAATTCTGGGAGTTGAAGTCCACAACTCCCTGCCTGCTTGATTGCAGGCAGGGAGTTGCTTGCTGATGGAATAGATTCAGGCAAGCAAAGCAAGGCAAGCGTTGGGACTAGCAGCTGAGGTAAGCAAGCTGGAGGGGGAAAACTTTTTTCCTTTTACATGGCTCTGGCGATCCCAGCTGCGTTGCCTGATTAGCAGGCAACTCAGCTGGGATCGTCAGAGCTTGGATCGCCAGAGCCATCTAAGGCTCGTCAGCCTTTCGCGCTGGTCTGCGTGGTTACAGGAGAACGACACCCGGCGTATAAGAGGACCCCTGACTTTTGAGAAGATTTTCATGTGTTAAAAAGTCATCTTATACGCTGGAAAATACGGTAATGTTTATTAACAGATATTCAGAAAAAGAAAAGTTCTTGATCCTGTGAATTTCTGAATGTTGGAGTAACATGCCTTTTCTGAACTTAGCACACAATTACTTTGAAATAGAGTCTGCTTATGATTACTCAGCAGTGACTAATATTTGAGTTCAGAGATAATTTACATTTCCAAGATTTTGATACATAGTAAGTGCTACTGCACAGATAATGGCTTTGTGTGATCAGCTGTTCAACATGGTGGAGGATGCTAGATTCCAGAAGCAATTCCATCTGATTTACCGTGATTATCAGATTCCCTCAAGCAACTACTTCAGCAATGATTGATACCCTTTTTGAGTAAGTGTAGTGGGGAGGAAGATTTAGAACTGCTGCAAGCAGTAAGTATGGGCATTTAGTCTTTAACCCAGTCTAGGTAAGATTATGTATACAAACTTCTCTCTGTGTACTAGTAGGGGTGAGATGAGAATGGACATGGAGAATAGGTCTAACCATGAAGACCTATTCATGGTTGTTTGTTGATAGTTTGTTGATATCGGTTGTATTGTTTATTCAACTAACTTGGTCCTTGTACTATCTGAGTTGCAGTGGGTTTGATCCACTTCTCTACCTTGCCCACTCTCCCTCAATCCTATTCATATGACCTACTTATCAGCATTGTTACTGAACTATAATCTTGACCTGTTTGGTCTAACATAGAGGTTGTCCTCAACTTACAACCATTTATTTAGTGACCAAAATTACAATGGCACTGAAAAAAGTGACATGACTATTTTTCACATGACTGTTGCAGCATGCCCATGGTCAAATGATCAAAATTTGTATGCTTAGCAACTGGATTGTATTTATGATGATTAAAGTGTCCCAGGATCATGTAATCATATTTTGCAACTTTCTGACAAGTAAAGTCAGCGAGGAAGCCATATTCACTTAACCATGTTATTAACTTAACTGCAATGACTCATTTAACTGTGGCAAAAAAAGTCACAAAATGAGGCAAAACTCGCAATTGTCTTGCTTTGAAATGGAAGTTTTGGGCTCAAATGTGGTTGTAAATTGAGGACTACCAATAGTGAACTGGCTCAGAGGCCCCATGGACTCATAGTGTCCATAGGTGCAGCAATGGAGACAATATCCTGTCAATAGCAAACTTCATTGCCGAGATGGAAGAAAAAGAGAACTATGCTTCCATAATTAGTAGGCTACTGCTTGAGTGCCTGGAGTGTAAGCTATGGTTGATTTTTGTAAAAATGCATGTGAGAAAGTTGGATTTCTTATGGATGGTTTTTTTAAAAAAGGCAGGTGGAATGCTGGAGGCAACAGTAAAGTTGTGTATGTTTACAAGCACTAGCATTCTTAAGTTCAGACACAAGTGTTAATATGTTTTGATCAGATCAGTTAGCTTATTTTTCTGTGTCGTTCCTTTCAATAAAAATGCTTATACTCTCAGGGAAGGTTGTTGCTCTAAATGTCAGAAAGCTAAGTTAAAGCTACTAGGGCTAAAAATGTCCAGAGAGTAGCTAGAAAGCTGCAAATAATTGCAGGTTTTTTGTGTCTTTGCTAGTAGTTATACATATTTGTGTTAACCTTAAAGGCTTGTTCTGAATCTCACTGTGTTCCATAGCTGAAGTGCTTGAAAGCATTTTAGGATCTCATTCTGCCAAAGTGTGGCCAATCTGAAACAGCTTAGCAATGTTACTGAAGTTATGCTTTGTTTCCTATTTGTAATGAGACACATGTTCACTAATGGGATAGCTTTGAAAAACAGGTCATTATTTTCTAGTTTTCCATTTAAATTCTATTTTATGTTACAGTTTTGAATAGTCATTTTCCTTTTGATTTTAATGCATGAAACATTTGCCTCTCCTGTCCTGTCCTTATCGAGAGAGGTTCCAGGAAATCAATTTATTCATCAGTTCTTTGGTCTTTGTTATGGTTGCAAAAGCTTCAGTTTACCATATCCCATCCCTGAAGTCTGATTTTATGCTTATTGGTTATAATATTATAAAATGAGCTTATATTAAGATCAGTTTGCAGAGGAACATGCAATATGAGCATTTAAATATTACTGGTCATGGATAGTTAGAAATTGGATAAAGATCATTCAGGCTCCCATCACTCTTTATAAATCTTTATAAATTTTATAAATCTTTATAAATTTTATAAATGATCTTTATAAATCAGTGCATCTTTTCAGTATTGAGGCTTTTCAAACCACCCATTTATCATGAAAGGGTACTTATTTCTATTTCTAAAGGACAAGTAAAAAGGTACATATATCTTGTTTAGGTTCAAATGTTTTCTGAAATTTCAGTCAGCCTTTTCTCCCCATCTGATCTGCTGCTTTCTGTCATGTCAGAAGATGAAGTTTTTGCTGCTGCAACAAAAATATCTAGAATACCTGGAAGATGGTAAAGTTTTGGAGGCACTTCAAGTTCTGCGTGGTGAGTTGACACCACTGAAGTACAACACTGAGCGCATTCACATCCTTAGTGGGTAAGTGTTTTAGACTGAAATTTTATGCATACTTGAATTTAGACCTGCATAGGTGGATGCCAAGCATAGGGGGCAAGTCTGTGGAGATGCCTAGGAAGCAAACTTATCCTGTTATCTGGGAACAATTTGATCCTGTTGGACCCAAGTAGATGGGTAAGGTCTTTTGGACTGTAGTGCCTCCGGTGAATTAGATCCATGTTCCCCTTGGCTGGCCGAGACTACTGGGGGGGGGGAAGGTACAGTTTCCAAGTGATGGTGAATTCATCCTTGATTGAGGCGGTGTTCCCAGCTTCTTCCTGGACCAGGACGCACTTGTTTCGATCACTCACATCGATTACATGCTTGAACTCCCTTTGAGTTTTATACTTTTATAGTACTTTAAACTACTTAGATGATAAAGTTATTTGAACATTGCAGATTAAACATTTTCCTCATATATTAAAGCGTGCTTCAGACTCCTGTGTTAAACAGCTCCTTCATTAAATCAGTCACTTGTTTCTGACTATATAGAAGCTATACCCTGAGCATTGATTCATATCAATTTAGCATATAGTTCCAGAATGCTTAATCCTTGTGTTTATTTCAATATACAGGTATCTCATGTGTAGTCATCCAGAAGACTTGCGCACTAAAGCAGAATGGGAAGGAAAAGGAACAACGTCTAGATCTAAACTTTTGGACAAGCTCCAAAGTAAGAAAAAATAGTTTCAAAAGGACACACACACACACACACACACACACATACACACACACACAAAGAGATTTCCAGCATATTTCATTCTGAACAGACAAGTCTTGATCTGAAAGTATAAATTCATGAGAGAATAGAATAGAATAGAATAGAATAGAATAGAATAGAATAGAATAGAATAGCAGAGTTTGAAGGGACCTTGGAGGTCTTCTAGTCCAACCCCCTGCCCAGGCAGAAAACCCTATACCACTTGAGACAAATGGTTATCCAACATCTTAAAAATTTCCAGTGTTGGGGCATTCACAACTTCTGCAGGCAAGTTGTTCCACTTATTAATTGTTCTAACTGTCAGGAAATTTCTCCTTTGTTCTGAATTGCTTCTCTCCTTGATTAGTTTCCACCCATTGCTTCTTGTTCTACCCTCAGGTGATTTGAAGAATAGTTTGAGTCCCTCTTCTTTGTGGCAACCCCTGAAATATTGGAACACTGCTATCATGTCTCCCCTAGTCCTTCTCTTCATCAAACTAGACATACCCAGTTCCTGCAACCGTTCTTCATATGTTTTAGCCTCCAGTCCCCTAATCATCTTTGTTGCTCTTCTCTGCACTCTTTCTAGAGTCTCAACATCTTTTTTACATCGCGACCAAAACTGAATGCAATATTCCAAGTGTGGCCTTACCAAGGCATTATAAAGTGGTATTAACACTTCACGTGATCTTGATTCTATCCCTCTGTTTATGCAGCCCAGAACTGTGTTGGCTTTTTTGGCAGGTGCTGCACACTGCTGGCTCATATCTAAATGGTTGTCCACTAGGACTCCAAGATCCCTCTCACAGTTACTGCTATTGAGCAAGGTACCACATATATGGTACCTGTGCATTTTGTTTTTCTTCCCTAAATGTAGATCCTTGCTTTTTTCACTGTTGAATTTCATTTTCTTAGATAGCGCCCAATGTTCAAGTCTGTCAAGATCCTTCTCTATCTTGAGCCTATCTCCTGGAGTGTTGGCTATTCCTGCCAGCTTGATGTCATCTGAAAATTTGATGTGTTCCCCATCTATCCCCTCATCCAAGTCATTGATGAAGATGTTGAAGAGCACTGGGCCTAAAACAGAGCGCTGCATACTTCCCTCCATGTAGATGCAGTTCCATTGAGGACTACACGTTGAGTGCGGTTGGTCAGCCAGTTACGAATCCATCTGGTGGTGATGCTGTCAAACCCACATTTTTCTACTTTATCTAGTAGTAGATTATGGTCTACTTTATCAAATGCTTTACTAAAGTCCAAGTAAATTATATTGACAGCATTCCTCTGGCCCACTAATTTTGTCACTTTGTCAAAGAATGCAATAAGATTAGTCTGGCATGATCTGTTTTTGACAAACCCATGTTGGCTTTTGGTTATTACTTGGTTTGCTTCTAGGTGTTCAGTGATTCGTTTATCTTTTCCAGAATCTTCCCTGGTATTCAGGTCAGGCTGATAGGTCTGTAGTTTTCTGGATCTATTTTTTTTCCTTTTTTGAAGATGGGAACTACATCAGCTCTTTTCCAATCCTCTCATAGTTCCCCTGTGCTCTAGGATCTTTGAAAGAGGTAGTTCAGTGGTTCTGAGATCTCGTCTGCCAGTTCCTTCAGAACCTTGGGGTGTAATCCATCTGGTCCTGGTGATTTGAACTCGTCTAGGGTAGACAGATATTCACTTACCATTTTCTTCCCTATTTTAACTTGTGTTCCTAATCTGTTTTTTGTTGGTGCTGTTTTTGATAGGTTGGACTGTTTTTTCCTTTTGTGTAAAGACAGATGAAAAAAATGAGTTAAGTAGTTCTGCTTTCTCCCTGTTGCTTGTCACCTTCTTGCCACTTTCTCCCAGCAATGGGCCAATTGTTTCCTTGACTTTTTTCTTGTTTTTAATATATTGGAAGAAGCTTTTTTGGGGGGTTATTTTTTACTTTAGTTGCAAGCCTTTGTTCATTGTGAGCCTTAGCTTTTGTCACTTCATCTTTACAGGCTCGGGCTATTTGCTGATATTCTGCCTTAGTTATTTGCCCCTCTTTCCACTTTTTATACTTATCCTTTTTGTCTTTCAGTTTGTTAGAGTTCTTTATGCAGCCATGCTGGTTTCTTTTGCGATCTATTATTTTTCTTCGTCATTGGTATTGTGCTAGACTGGGCTTTTATAATCTCACTTTTCAAAATTTCCCAAGCTTCTTGAGTTGTTTTCCCCTTGAGGATTCTTATCCATGGAATCCTTCTCAAGCTCTCTCTAAATTTATTGAAATTAACTCTCTTAAAGTCTAAGACTCTAGTTTGACTTTGTTCTACTACTTGTGTTTACATAATATTGAATTCCAATATTGCGTGATCACTTGCCCCCAAGGTTCCTCTAGCTTCAACACCTTTTATCATTTCGTCTCTGTTAGTGAGAATTAAGTCCAATATGGCTGATCCCCTTGTTCCCTTCTCTACTTTTTGGGAAACAAAGTTGTCTGTTAGATTTGTTAGGAACCTGTTGGATCTTCCACTTGGTGCAGAGTTTGTCTCCCAGTTGATATCAGGGTAGTTAAAATCCCCCATTACTATTGTGATGTGCTTCCTACATACCTTAGTTAGCTGACTAGCAAAAAGTTCATCTACTTCCTCTGGTTGGGTGGCCTATAGTATAGACCTATGGCAATGTCATTTCCTCCCCCTTTTAATATTGACCCAAATGCATTCAAGATAATTTTCATCATTGTTGTAGAGATGTGGTTATTTCTTATATATAGTGCAACTCCACCTCCTCTTTTATTTGGTCTATTTCTTTTAAATAATTTATATCCCTCTAGCTGTATGTTCCATTTGTGGATTTCATCCCACCAAGTTTCCGTAATGGCAACAATATCATATCTGCCCTCATTTACTTGAATTTCTAATTCACCCTGTTTATTCCTCATACTCTGTGCATTAGTGTATAGACATCTGAGTCCATTTTGATTGACCCTGTGTTTCCTGTCTACATAACCTGTGTTGTGCCTGACTGCCCCTGCTTTCTTGCCACCTGTTTGATTAATGCACAGATGATTTGTACCTGTGAAGGGGGAGGTGGTTGATAGACAATAGCGAAGTGGCAGTTTCCCAGGAGGGGGGGGGGAAGGGACAAGACAAGAGGCAACGCAGACTAGAGCTGGATAAGAGGAAGAGAGAGAGGATAGCCACTCCCTAATACCTCCCAAAGTATATCTGTTAGATGAGAGTAGAATAGGTTTAATTTAGCAAGATTCTGATTTGGTATGAGCAAATGAAGAACTGAACTTTGGATGGATTATTCTATATCATTCTTGGGCTGGGCCTGACAATTCATTATTGTTAGTCAGTTTTCACTTCAGTGCTCATAAAGACAGAGTAAAACTAACTACGTGTTTGTTATGCTATCAAATTGTGGGTTATTTTTCTCAGTAGAATGGAGAAATGCATAATTCTCCTTCTCTGAGATATTCCCACTTTTACAGTTCCTAAATCTATTTTGGAAAGTTGGGATATTCTTGGGCAGATTGGGACATGTTAGAAAGTAAAGGGTGCAGTGAAGAAGAAAATGCCATTATGTGAACAAAATCTTACAGAATGATAATTAATTTGTTATCTAGGCATCTTTGGCTTAAATAAGTTAGACACGTATATGGAAAATATACTTCACAAATTTGTTTTTTTTTTAAATGAATTGATTACACTGAAATTGCCTTTTTATTTATTTAAGCTTACCTACCCCCATCAGTGATGCTCCCCCCAAGGCGTCTGCAGAATCTGCTACGTCAGGCTGTAGAGCTACAACGGGACCGGTGCCTCTATCACAATACTAAACTTGATAATAATCTAGAATCTGTGTCACTACTCATAGACCATGTTTGCAATAGGTGAGAGAATTTTTTTTTAATTTTATGGGCTATGGTAATATCTTTTAATGCAACAAAATTACTTTTAATTTTAAACAATTAAAAGTAATTAACTTGTAATGGTTGATTTATTTTCAGTTTTACACAAGTAAGTATTCAGGGTGGCCAGCAAAAATATAAAAAATTAGTGTTTTAAATTATATTCAACAATTTAAAAAAAATAAACATTGTATATTTTTGTTTGAGTATATAGTAAGTGCAGGAAAAACATTTTACCTAGCCAGTTTATTTCTCGGAGAATATTGCATTTTTACAAATGTACTAAGGATCAGCTTGAAAGAACAATAATAAAGATGTAGAATTATATAGGCTTTATATCCTGATTCACTGACCATAAGATATTTGTTAACCACATTTATCTGAAATAGTTAAGAATGTCTGAATTCTGCCTTTTGCAGAAACTGGGTGATTTTCACTTAGAGCTAATAGTGGTCTCCTGTAATATTAAGTTAGAAGTGAGTTTCACTTAATGGAGCTTACTTCCATCAAACAATATGACAAAGACTGCAGAAAAAGATTTCAGTTTTTTAAAACAGAGAATGGTAACATGAATGGCAGTTCTTCACACATTTAATATGCATTATGTTAAATCCTATTGAACTCAGGAAGATCCAGGCAGCCTTGCTGTATGCAGGATTGCAAGAATAGATTCCTCTATCAGACTTTTAAGTGGTAAGTTAGAAATGAAGCTTGGAGGACAAGGCTTTATTTCAGAAATTCTTAATTTTAAAAATATATTTAAGAATTCTTTCTATAAATCTGAAAAATCATAAAAATAAATTTGTGAGGCTAGTTTTGCAGTGAGGCTTGAGTCTAATCAATAGAGAAATGCAAAACATTTGAAAGACCACTCTGCAAAGTGTAGACAACACACCAAAACATCAGATTGTTCTCTGATCATATCTGCATGCCTAATTGCTTTGTTTTGGAGTCTCAGCAATTGCATTGACAGACATGCACAGACAATCTGAGAAAGCCTCCAAAGTTGTTGCTTTAGCCTTTCTGGAGCATGCAGCTGCCTCCATGCTTCAAAGAGGGGTGTTTTACTCATGCCAATATGGTTTGCAAAGTGTTCTTTCAAATGCATTGGACACCCTTCTTATCAGAACCGAGGCCATACTTGTCTTCATATTTTCAAGATGTTGATTCAGAGCTCATGTCAGGAGTCATGACTTGAGGTGAGGGTAGGAAGGTTTATAATAAATAACATACTCATGCATTTTCACCAACCGATTTTGAAAGTTGGTTATATTTTAAACCTAATTTATCTTGCATCCTGGGATGCTGTCTTTGAAACAACTACGGTTTCATGGCCCTTTGGATCCTGGTCATATTTGGCAGTCCCCATATCTATCTCTGCACAAAGAGTATGACAAGTAGGAAAAAAATAAGATAGGAGATAGGAAAACAGGATATTTGATAAGCATTTATAATGTGTTTTTTTCCTTTTTGTGCATGCAATAGTAATCATTTGCCTGATGCTAATATGGATATTTATAGTGGTGAAAGAATATTTGTGAACCTTTAGTACTATCTGCAATCCTGAAGTATTTGGCCTAGAGTGTATTCAAAGCTTCATCTAAGTCTAACAGAGAGATGTTAATTAAACAAATATAGGATAAAACAATGTACTGTCTCATATCTTCATTGAACACATTGAACTAATATTTACTATTATGGGAAAAACATGTAAAACTAATATAAGCAGCTCTGTTAAATGGATCAGTGGAGTGAGATTGTTATTGATTGATTAGATTTATAGGCCATCCAACTCTAACAATGTGACTTTGGGTAGCATACAACAAAACTTCTAATCAGTGATATTATCAGATACGATTTTGAACAATTTCCCCATTAAATACACACACACACACACACACACACACACACACACGAAATTATTGTGGCCTTACCTTCAGTGGGCAGTTTATGCAAGATAGACTAAAATGTAAATAAGGACTGGGCAATATAATTATATATATATGTACTAGCTGGATATCCGTGCTTCGCTACGAAACTTATGTGATGGGGCTTGATAAATTGACACTTAGAGTTTGAAAATTAATCAGTAGTTACGATCGCGTTCTCTCTGTCAGGCTAGCCCCACAGAAGCCTCTCCTCTTCTCTCCCCTTCTCTCCCTCAGGCTGGCCCCATAGATCCTCTCCTCTCCCCTTCTCTCCCTCAGGCTGGCCCCACAGAAGCCCTTCTCCCCTCAGGCTGGCCCTACAGAAGCCTCTCCTCTCCCCTTCTCTCCCTCAGGCTTTCTAGCACCTTCTCTCCATGAGGCTTGCCCCACAGAAGCCTGTCCTATGCTATCCCATTCTCTCCAGAGTTATTTTCAAGTTGGTAGGGGGAGTAGAATGTCTAACTAATTAGCATCAGAGCGTGTTATAATAATATAGGAAATACTAATGCTCTGATGGTCATTTCAAAAAATCCTTTCTTAGTGAGCACCTAGAAGCCAAGAGGAACATACGTGGCAAATTTCAAGTTTGTAGGCTTTACGGTTCTGGAGATTTCGTGATTAATGCGTGAGTGGTTTTCGTTTTTATATATATAGAAGATATTCTATAGTTTCTATAACTGCTCCATCTCAGTCAATGACTCGGTGGCTTACAATTCCAAAACTATAAAAACAAAAACAAAAAAAGCATTTTAAAAACACCAAAAATGTATTTCCAAAATGATGTGCAAGATTGATTAGCTGGTACAAGAAACATTGGGCTGAAGTCATTATTGCTAATGCCACCAGTTATTAAATCTGATGCATTGCATACTTTTTTTCAACAAAGATGAAGTTGGTTCAGTATGTTCAGTGGAGACATGATACTCTATGCTTTCTTATGCATTGTTTAATTAGACTCTCTTTACTGAATAAGAAGCTCAGTTCAGTTTGTAGATCACAGTCTGCAAGATGATGGATTGTTCTAAAAGTTCACAAACTTTTGGTTTCCATTGTATATTAGTTCACATAAAACTGATACTTTTTCTACATAATTGTTTTTTAGGAAACATTTTCCATGTTATACTCAGCAGATACTTACAGAGCACTGTAATGAAGTATGGTTTTGTAAATTCTCCAATGATGGCACTAAACTAGCAACAGGATCCAAGGATACAACTGTTATTATATGGCAGGTTGACCCTGTAAGTATCATTCTATATGGCAAACTCTTTCCATAAAATTAAATGCTTTTTTTCTCCGTTTGATTTCCATGTCATTTTTAAATACCTTGTCATGGTTCTGTTTGCATGTATTTTTGCCTTAAGCTTTTATCTCTTGTTTAATTTATTTGTTCTTTATTTATGGAAAGTATAATCCAACAAAAGGTATGCAAACTAGCTACAATTTGAATAACTGCAATGTTGTGTCTCGGTTTCTTGAAGAACAAGAATATGAGCATTCTTTATGATTTGGTGGCCATTTCAGAAGCCAAAAAAAACAGACAGGAAAAAAATAGCTGTTTTCCAATTTTCACTAGGTACTTTGCAATACCTTCCAATTATTTAATAGTTGCAGTAATATTATTCCTACTAAATTATTGAAATAAAGACTTGCGGTAGCCAGGAATATCAAATATAACAAATTCAGTTCTATACTAAAAAAATTGATTCCAATATTGCAATTTCCAAAAAATATACCCCAAATTATGGTTGAGTAAATTATTTAGGATAGACAATTAATTAACATGTGCACATCTGTAGCAGTTCAAAATGTCCTGAAAAAAGTATTTGTTAGGCTTACATTGGATTTATGAGATGTTGAAAATAAGGTAATCTATTTGTGTTATTTTCCTCTAGTTCTTTTTTCAATATTCCAAAACTGTGTTTACTCCTTTTAATTTTATGTGTGCATGTTCATTTAGTAGTTACAGTAAGTATGTCCCATTAATAATTAATATATGAAGAAATTTAACATTTTAAAATTAAAAATGCTTGAAGTTTAAATATACAGTGATGCTTAAAAGTTTGTGAATGCTTTTGAATTTTCAACATTTCTGCATTAATATGAACCTAAATATTCACCGTTTTCCACACAAGTCCTGAAACTAGATAAAGAGAACCAGTTAACCAAATGAGTCAAACATACTTGTTATTTATTTTTAAGGAAAATGATACAAAGCTATATACACTGCTCAAAAAAATAAAGAACACAAGCAGAAGACATCCGAGATCTGAATGAATGAAATAGCCTTATTAAATACTTTGTTTGTTACATACAGTAGTTTTGTGTTCTCTTTAGTTGTTTGAGCAGTGTATAAACAACTGTATGTAAAGAACAAAGTATTTAATAAAGCTATTTCATTCATTCAGATCTCGGATGTCTTTTGCTTGTGTTCCCTTTATTTTTTTGAGCAGTATATTTGTGTATGTACAAAAGGGACCCCAGAGTAAGCAAAAAAACATTTTTCTCATATATATTTTATTTTTAAAAAAATTCGAAAACTATTACTTTTTCTATTGTAATTATGCAGATTAGACAAATAGAATTTTCCCTTTTTGTTACACCAGAGAGTGGTTGTTTCTGTTTGTTTGTGAAAACATTTTTTTTTTAATGTTTCTTTTCTATGATAGTACTATTTTAATCTTGTTGAGAATATTTTGTTTTGCATGAGTTAGTCTCAAGAAAAGCCATTGACATTTTTAAGAGAGTTACTGATTACCTCGTGTAGCCTTTCCGGACATCTATTCTTCTAGATAGGAAAAAATTAGTGTGTTCTGACTCTTTTTTTTTTTAGATAAGTGAACATTAAAAACAAAATTTCTAATTTTGGTTCCTAATATGTTGCTTTGCTAAATGGTTTGTAGGATTGTCAGAATAAATTACTCTTTTAGATTAGCTACTTAAGCTATATAAAAGGCTTACCAATCAATTAAATTACTGTAATTTTCTGCTTTTAAAGGATACACATCAACTAAAACTGCTCAAGACTTTGGAAGGCCATGCATATGGTGTCTCCTATATCGCTTGGAGCCCTGACGACAACTACCTGGTTGCCTGTGGCCCAGATGACTGCTCTGAGCTTTGGCTCTGGAATGTACAAGTAAGAATGATAAATTTGAGGTGTTGGCATGCCATTAAATAGCTTAGATATATGGACCATACTCAGGTTATTTGATACTTTTGGAGGAAATCCTTGGCTATTATGGATGTTAGATAACTCCATATGAAAAATTCCAAATGTTGGTATTTTGACAAAACTTAGAATGAGTGTTCCATATTGCAATGGAGCAACATTCTGAATGTTTTTAGTGTTTTGTTTATAGGAAGCCATGGGGTAAGCCTTTTATTTTCCTGGTTTTCACATTAAGGCCATGATAGCTACTGTCTTCCATCCAACATGCAGGTTGAGAATAAATGAAGATAAATTCAGACTGGGTGAGATACTAATGGTAGGAAGATTTGAAATACAAGGATTGTATTTTCCTAATTGCTAGATTTGCATGTTTCGGCAATAGCAAAAACAGTTTTGTAACATTTTTAAACGGGTCCTCTTGATTAAAGATGAATTTAAAGCAAGAATGAGCTGGGTTATATACTATAATAACTTTTAGTTGGTTGTTGCAAATTACTAAGATAACTTTGTAACATGTTATTTGTAATAGCATTTTGGTTTAGATTAGAACTTTATTAAATTGGGAACTGCTCCTTTAATTTTGGCAATGAGCTGAAATAAGCCTACCACATTGGCAATAGATTATACTAGCACTACATTTGTTAATTACATTTGTAATTCTGAGTTCTGATTTGATAATTAAAGGCTTACATTGCCTCGTTACTAGAAGTTGGCTTATTTTTAAAGTGATCCGTGTTATTATTTTGTTGCCATACTTTTGAATGAACGAATGAATGAGAGAGAGATTGTGTGTGTGTGTGAGAGAGAGAGAGAAAGAGAGAATGAAACTCACAGCCTTCCTTGCCCCCTCCCAGGTGTACTGAAATTAGAATTGCCCGAAGACATTAAGGAAGGTTGATTTACTCTAGGTACTCAGTGGCTACTTTATTATATATTTGAAAGCACTTTTGTATTTTATCACCAATTTTGTAAACAATAATTAGACATGGTATTTAAATGTTTCAACTACACTGATGCCCATGTATATTACTATTTCAAAGAACCTTTAACTATATAACTTCATCTGCAGACGGGGGAGCTAAGGACAAAGATGAGTCAATCCCATGAGGATAGCTTAACCAGTGTGGCCTGGAATCCAGATGGAAAACGTTTTGTGACAGGAGGGCAGCGTGGGCAATTTTACCAGTGTGTAAGTTGGAGTGGGCAACCTTTTTGCAGCCATTGGCTAAATTGTTATTATTATTTAATTGTTTGCAAAGAACTACATTGGGTGTGCACGTTGAAGCCACTGGAGTGGGTGGAGATAGAATTTTCATTCTGTTTTGGGGGGTTTTCCGTGAATGCTGTAGGTAGGGGGGGGGTTCACTGGAAAACAGATTTGTTAAACCTAGAAAAGGCTCAACACCTATTTTTTATAAACAAAAGGGGTAGAAACATTTGGGGGGTTCAGGCAATCTACCTACACAGATTGCCATTCCTGCTATAAAGAAGCGGGTCTTTTACTATACCAAAATGCATCCATCCCTATTTTTACAATTAAAAATTGCTTAGAAGTGGCTTGTTACAAATCTTTGGTAAAAGCCATATTAGCATTGATGGACTTATTACTTGAAATATATATGAAATTGGGTATATTGCTGTTCTTACAAAAAATGAATTCCATGATGTCAGTCAAATAATATATTCAACATGACGTACATGTTCATATACTAGAGCTTATGTTGGCATATACCGTATTTTTCAGAGTATAAGACGCACCTTTCCCCCCCCCTAAAAGGGGGTAAAAATTTAGGTGCATCTTATACACCGAATGTAGCCCCGCCTACCCACTGGCTCCACCCTTTGGCCTCGCAGCAGTTACCTCCTTGCAAGCAAACAGCAAGAAAAACAACTCCTTTCAGCTTCAGTACAGCCTAATTAGCACAAGTTGATTGGATCAGCCTCCTGACTCTCAGCTGATTTGCTCTCAGCAGGGCTCTGCTGTAAAGAGGTAAATTGCTGGAGAAGTAGGCTGTTTGCTGTTTGCTGCAACAAGGCAAAATTAGGCAGAGGCAGAGGGAGATTTCTTTTTCTTCTTTCCCTCACCAAAAAAGTGAGGAAGGTGCGTCTTATACTCCGAAAATACAGTAATCAGTATGTGTAATAAGGATTCTAGTCATTATAATTATTACCATCTTTAGCTAGAAAATATTCACATGTATATAAACAAAATTGGGGGAAAAAACCCATGAAATGCAAGATAAACCATCTATATCCTGCATATTCCTTTCTGCATTTTCTAAACAAACCAAAAGTTGCATCCCTGAATATCCATCGGAAACAAACAGCATGTGTTACACACACACACACACACACACACACACACACACACACACGGTCTCAAGGTGAACCAAAAAGATCCTACTTAGGGAGGCAAGAAAGAAAGTTCAACAGAACAAAGTCTGCTTTTTAAATTTTAGGTGATACCCATGGAATCTCTTGTTATAATACAGCCCCACCATTTCATGATGGAAGTAAAACCATAGTTTTCATGTTTTTGGTAGCTTTTTTATAAGGGTTTTGCTTTATTCCCTGTCTAGGATTTAGATGGTAATCTCCTAGACTCCTGGGAAGGAGTAAGAGTGCAGTGCTTGTGGTGCTTGAGTGATGGGAAGACTGTACTGGCATCGGACACACACCAGCGAATTCGGGGCTATAACTTTGAGGACCTTACAGACAGAAATATGTAACTACATTGTTTTTCTGTTGCGCTAGATAAATTAATCCTATAGTTGGCTAAGCAATGAAAATAATATTTCACATGACTTCTGAACATGTGTTAATTCTAAATTGGGCTTTTCAAAAAAAAAATCCTATATAAATAATAAGAATATAAATGAGGAGTTAATAAAAAATAAACCTTGATGTGTGAACTACTAGTGCAGTCATAATTGGGCTCGTTGTAAGACCCCTGTAATAAAGAATATTGAAACTATATTTACATTTTTGTAGAAATGATAATTTTTAATCATAATTCTAATACTATTGTTTATATTTTCAGAGTACAAGAAGACCATCCAATTATGTCTTTTACTATTTCGAAAAATGGTCGGCTAGCTTTGTTAAATGTCGCAACTCAGGTAAGGAGATGTTGTTGTTGTTGTTTTAAATAGGCATACCCTTTTGAAAAATATTTACAGTTTGGCACAAAAAATGTAACTTGCTTCTGGTGAATATGGTCTGTTTCCTGACTTGTCAATAGAACTCTAGCTATGGTTCTTTCTTGTCAGAGAGAGAAAGAGGTCAGAATTTTTTATTTCTGATAGTGCCCAACACAATGGGGCATATAGGCAGTGTTCCTTTCTGGAAAGCTGAATGAAAAAAAACCCCTCTTTATTAAATTACTGTGGATAATTATGTACGAACCTACACTGATTCTTTTTCTTCTAATTCAGAGGAACCTATTTGGAATTACTGTATGTCTTGTGACTGCCATACCAAAATTCTGTTGCAAGTAGATAATTTTTTTGCAGTGCAATTTAAAAAAAACTAAAAAGGGTGGGAATGAGAGCAGATGTATAACTGCCATTTTCACCTTTAAGTCCCTAAATCTGTTATTTTTTATTATTTTAGCTTTTGTATGATAAGATTGATATATATTTATTGTTACTATGTTGTCAGATTTTTGTATGATTGCTATTTGTATTTTATTTTATTAGATTTTTATCCCGCCTCTATTACTTTTATAAATAACTCAAGGCAGTGAACATACAGTACCTAATCCTCATCCTATTTTCCTCAACAACCCTGTGAGGTGGGTTGGGCTGAGAGAGAGTGGGTTAGGTTGAGGCAAGATTAGAATTCAATCTCCTGGTTTCTAGTCTAGTGCCTTAACCAGTAGACCATTGTTGTATTGCATTGCTATATTATTGTTATCTATTGGGATTGGAATGTATGCTGCTTTGAAATGAAATGGCATACAGGTGTTAATTGAATATGTGGGTTGTTAAGAGCACATGAGGTATCTCAGGAGTAGGAAAGACCATGGGAGGCCTAGTGCAGGGACAAGCCCACTGCCTCTGGCCACCAAAAGCCCCACCTACTGAGATATCCCATGCTCCTCTTCCCACCTCTTGGGAGTCCCCACAACTGCTTCCGCCTTCTCCCCACCCCATAACTGATCATTCACGTTTGGAAAATCTCCAGGTTCTCTTCTGTCCCCATTGCACGCACACACACAGACAGGAGTTAATGAATCAAACAGTCAGGAATTCCTTTAAGATAACAGTCTTGGCAGCGAACCATGAACTGCCTGCCAAGAGATTTTACTCACTAAGGGAAGTTTTTTCTCCTCAGTCTGATATATCAAATTAATTCCACAAAGCAAAGAATTGTCAAAGTCCAGTCCAAAGAAATCCAAAAAGAGATTCTAACAGGGTTCTAGAAACACAATATGACTTCCGAGTTTTTCAATTTGTCCGTCACAAGGCCTGAATAGCTGACACACCCCCTTTTATCCCTTGTGGGGTGTGGTCCAGTGACTCAGCTCAATCTCTGGCCCGCCCATGCCTCTTTCTCTGCTGCGTGCGCTTATCCTTCCGACGCTGTCTGGGATCCAGCCAAAACTCATCCCCCTCGCTCTCTATCTGCGGCTGATCCGAAGTGCCTTGCTTCTGGCATATCTCTTGGCCTTCAGAGGAAACCTGAGGCATTGCCAGAGAGGAGGGTCCTGGAGAGGGAGGCCTTGCCAAGTCCTCTCCTTCACCTTCTGAGTCCTCTCCCTCTGTTAAAACAGGCTTGGGGGTCGGAGTCACAACAGGTTCTAGATCAGCAGTCCTCAACTTTTCCAACTTTGTGGACAGGCGGTGGTGGCAGGGGATGATTTCATATTCTCACTGCTCACGCAAGTGGAGCTGCGTGCACTCACCCACTGCTTGTGCGGTCCAGTTCCGAACCGACTGTGGCCCAGGGGTTGGGAACCCCTGCTCTAGATGATAGCGCAAAGCTGTTTCCTTAGATCTCATGTTCTTATACATGTTTCCATCCTCTTTGGAAAAGCGTTTTTAAGCAAGTCACCAACTCAGTAGTTAAGTGAATCACAGGGTTCTTAAGAAAATCTGACTTTCTTCCATTAACTTTGCTTGTTGGAAGCTGGCTGGGAAGGCTGCAGATGGTGATCACATGACACAGGGATGCTGTAATCATTGAAAATATATGCCAGTTGTCAAGCACCCAAAGTTTGATTATATGACGGGGGGGGGGGTGTGCTATGATGGTTGAAAGTATGATGATTAATCATAATTGTCAATTTTCAGTGCAATTGTAATTTTGCATGGACACTAAGGGTCCTAGGCCAAGGACTATCTGTATACCATTCCAGTCCAAGAGGACTGTACGCAGTTTACATTCTCTTCCTATGGTTAGTGTTAAAATGTAAAAATAGTATCATAAAATGGTGAGGACAAAACTTCCAATTACAATCTTAGATGGATGTTCTAGCTTATATTAGATCTTCTCTTAAAAAGTCATACCTTACTTGTTTTTCCAAAACAAGTTAACTATATCCAAAAGTCTTTTTATTTTTCCAGTTCAAGTAGTTAAATTGTTTTTTTTAAAGAATTGTATAAGGAAATGAAGCTTGCTTAACCCAAAATGTTTGCAACTAAACACTTGAACAGATACAGTGGTTGGCAAATGCAAGAGGGCTATGGAAAGTTTATATCCAAACATTATCAAGTAAAAGGCAATTTGTGCAATACCTTTTGTCCCCTCTACAATTTAGGAAAAGACCAGAGTAGTAGGACATGTATTTTTCTTGAGAAAAATCCCTTGTTCAGTTCCTAATATCTCTTGGAGCAAGAAGGAAATCTTACTGAAAGCTGGAAAAGCTTTTATCAATTGGTGTGATGTTTTGAAACAGTTAAGATGGCTTCTTATATTCTACTTCACCTTCCCACATGCAAAAGCATCTATTAGAAGCCTTAAGATGTGACACATGGTATAGTGAGTGGGGAGAACTAGAGAAAATTTTACAGCAGCTGGTATATGTGGGAAAGAGCATCTGCTCACATTTTACTGGTGATTTTTTTCATGCTGCAACCCTACATCACTTATTTCTCTTTCCTGAAGGTTTCAAGATAAAAGCTTTCAGGAAATGTAAATGGGTTCTGCTTTGGTGAAAAATAAGAAGAAAAGTTCTGCTGTATAAAAGACAAATGCTCATGTGATTTTTGCTTGTGAAGAAAAATAGTCCAATTTTATATTGATGTACTGAATCTTATTCAGATTAAATTATTAAACAGTGAAGCTAAGTAATGGAGAGGAAACTTTCTTACAGTAAACTATTTCTACAATGGTTTTTGTCCTCAGGGAGTTCATTTATGGGATTTGCAAGACAGAGTTTTAGTGAGAAAGTACCAAGGTGTTACACAAGGGTTTTACACAATTCATTCATGTTTTGGAGGCCATAACGAAGACTTCATCGCTAGTGGCAGTGAAGGTAATTTTTTTTTTTTAAAAAAAAAATCTCTCTCTTCTCTCTCCCTCCCTCTCTCTCTCTCTCTCATTCCGGCACAAACTTTCTGCATTAGTGAATATTATAGTCTTCTCACTCTTTGAGTTTTAATAAGCAGGGTGGGTGTGCCTTACATTTCCATAAATGGTGTTAATTAAATACTCATTGAAAAGAAGGATTCTACTTCAGAGAATGGTAGGATCCACAAGTAAAATGTGTGACATCTTTTTGAGAATAACGTCTGTAATTTTGATACGATTTGTACAGTATTGAGTACTGTTGCTCTAATAGTTCTCTGAGGTATTAACTGTATTTGCTGTAGATATTTTTTTCTAAAGGTAGGTGTAGGGTATATAAATTCACCTGTCATTTCGATTATAATCAATTTTGGTAAGAGAATGATGGTCTCCTATACTGCAACAGGATCTACTGTATTCAGTATCGTCCATCGTGAGCAACTTGAAACAATCATGGTTATCTTTTAGCAGGTTTCCTTGTCAGTTGTGTGAGAAGTCAGTTATCATATGTTCTTGGCATTAAGGGTGCTGATCCACTCTCAGGTTCTTGCTCTGTATTGCTAGTAGAATTGGAGCTAATACAGAGTGGGCAACAATACTCCTGTACCCCAAAAACTTCAGGAAGATGTGGTTTTGGTCTGAACAGGAATGCAGTCGTAGGTTGAGTCAACAAAAATCGTATCTTAATGCATTATTTGTCTTTAACGGGTGAAATGCTCAACTGAGAACAGCACCTCTTTATTGGACCTTATGTTAATAACTTGTCATTGTAAATATTTGTCAGTCATTATATGCATGCATTTTTAACTCCCTTCCCCTTCCAAACAGTCTCTGGCCCAGAAATATCTGTCAGCCTATTGACTTTTTGGTGTATCAAATAATTCATACACCACTTAGGACAGCGTGGACAAGTCACTTAGCTACAGCCTATTGTTTGTTTGACATGAATATGCCGATTAACTTATCCAGGTCAACTTAGAACAGCTTTTTATTTTTTTCATTTTCAGTGTCTAAAAACTACCCAGCTGTAGTTGAAGCTGATGGCACCTTATTTAGATTCGGACTGCCTGAGGCTGTTGCCTCTTTGCACTGAATTGTTGCAAATATGGCTGCTGTGAAAGTCTCTATGTACAAAAAAAGTAACAGATTTAAATGTCATAACCTCTTAAATGTAAAGGTATGTTTTCAGCTAGGTAGGCATTTCACCTACCAGCCCCAAACATCAAATGATCTGCCCTGGGAGTAAATTTCACGTCTAATTCTGTTAAGAAGCATTAAGGTACCATAAAAAAAATCTCTCATGGGAGTAAGTCTGAGTGTTGTTGCCTTAAGATGAATAATGATCCTTGAAGTTATGCAGATAATGTGTAATCAGATTAAAATTTTTAATCAGATTAAAATTGGGAGAGTAAACAAATATAAACAAGGGTGTTTGATGTAATTTAGATGTTGTGCACTTATTTTTAAAAATCTTACATGAGCTGATTTAGCTAGTAAGTATTTCTGTTAAATAATGTGGCATGTAAGTAGAAGGATTTGTAATACTTGGGAAGAGACTAAAATACTTTGGATCCTTTATCATTGTTTGAATTTGTTAAAGCAAATGATTTTAACACTTTTGTACATCTTAAAAGTTTGTCTTATGGTGGTTCTATTTAATCAGATATTTAAGTAAAACCACAAACTTACTCTAGTGCTTAGCAAAAAATATAATTACTGGCAACTACTTTGATACATGGTTCTTCACAATGCAGACACTTGCACATTTAAGATTTCATCCACCCTTTCTATGATCATTCAATTTGCGTGTCAGGATTAGCAGTGGCAAAGAAATTTCCATTCAGATGTTCAGCTTTGTAAATGTTTTATGTGAATGTAATAGAATGCACCAACACAATTACAGCTATAAATTACAACTTGGCTGTGTCATGAATTTCTTCAAATGGTGAAATGGATTGCTTATTGGCTAAAGTATACTGACAAAAATCATTGTATTGGGCATTATACTTCAAGGCAAACGAGCTATCTGAATGTAACTTCCTCTTATTCTGCATGTGGGCTGGCATTTACTGGTTTCTCCACTATCTTTTTCATGCAGCAGTAAGTTCCTGAATAGGGTATCACACAGTTAATTTAGTGCATGGCTCACTAAAGTCATAGATAAAGTATCATGTTTAAAAACATTTTATTTTCCAATCACAAATGAAGTCCTTTATTCAAAAGGCAGGAAGTTTTCTGGAGAAATCCCCATACCTATCATTAAAATGGTCAAATTAAAAAATTCAAGAATTAGAATCCAGAGCTTTTCAATTTTGTATTTCAATTTCATTCTTGTATATAAATGTATTATTAGTGGAAATTAGCATATAAACAGATTCCTAATTAGATAATATAAATCCTGCCTTTATACTTAATTTTCTACAAATATCTTCATTTTGGAAAGAAAATCAGTACATATTGTTAGTTTAAATGTGGAATTTTAAAGGCCTTGAAACTGTTGGATATAGCATTTAGTATTTTTGTTTTGGGATATGCATGGAATTTTTAAAATGGAAACATGGATTGTTATGTTGATTACAGAGCATATTTTAAATGTTAGGATGGATCTCATGTTTTTTCAAACCTATCTGTCTTAGATCATAAAGTATATATTTGGCACAAACGTAGTGAGCTGCCAATTGCGGAACTGACGGGGCACACACGTACAGTCAACTGCGTGAGCTGGAACCCACAAATTCCATCCATGATGGCCAGCGCCTCTGATGATGGCACTGTTAGAATATGGGGACCATCACCTTTTGTAGACAGCCAGGATATTGAAGGTAAAAAAATAAAATAAAATAATTTTATGAGAGAGAAAGATTTTAAGATTCGATTATGTTTATTTTTTCTTATTGCATTTAAATACAGTGATTTGCAAAGTTCATGGTGTATGCATAATTTAATCATACAGTGAAAGGTTTGAGTAGCCTTAAGTATCTTCTAGTCCAACCTTCTGCCCACTCATTTTTTGCATCTGTCTTTACACAAAAGGAAAAAACAGTCCAATCTATCAAAAACAGCATCACAAAAAACAGATTAGGAACACAAGTTAAAATAGGGAAGAAAATGGTAAGTGAACACTTGTCTATCCTAGACGAGTTCAAATCACCAGGACTAGATGGATTACGTCCCAAGGTTCTGAAGGAACTGGCAGACGAGATCTCAGAACCACTGAACTATATCTTTCAAAGATCCTGGAGCACAGGGGAACTGCCAGAGGATTGGAAAAGAGCTGATCTAGTTCCCATCTTCAAAAAAGGAAAAAAAATAGATCCAGGAAACTACAAACCTATCAGCCTGACCTGAATACCAGGAAAGATTCTGGAAAAGATAATCAAACAACGAATCACCGAACACCTAGAAGCAACCTTATTGCACTCTTTGACAAAGTGACAAAATTAGTGGAACTCATCAAATGAGAAGATACCAAGCTGGCAGGAATAGCCAACACTCCAGAAGATAGGCTCAAGATAGAGGAGGATCTTGACAGACTTGAACATTGAGTGCTATCTAAGAAAATGAAATTCAACAGTGAAAAAAGCAAGGTTCTACATTTAGGGAAGAAAAACAAAATGCACAGGTACTGTATATGTGGTACCTTGCTCAATAGTAGTAACTGTGAGAGGGATCTTGGAGTCCTAGTGGACAACCATTTAGATATGAGCCAGCAGTGTGCAGCACCTGCCAAAAAGCCAACACAATTCTGGGCTGCATAAACAGAGGGATAGAATCAAGATCACGTGAAGTGTTAATACCAATTTACAATGCCTTGGTAAGGCCACACTTGGAATATTGCATTCAGTTTTGGTCGCCACGATGTAAAAAAGATGTTGAGACTCTAGAAAGAGTGCAGAGAAGAGCAACAAAGATGATTAGGGGACTGGAGGCTAAAACGTATGAAGAACGGTTGCAGGAACTGGGTATGTCTAGTTTGATGAAGAGAAGGACTAGGGGAGACATGATAGCAGTGTTCCAATATCTCAGGAGTTGCCACAAAGAAGAGGGACTCAAACTATTCTTCAAAGCACCTGAGGGCAGGACAAGAAGCAATGGATGGAAACTAATCAAGGAGAGAAGCAATTTAGAACTAAGGAGAAATTTCCTGACAGTTAGAACAATTAATAAGTGGAACAACTTGCCTGCAGAAGTTGTGAATGCCCCAACACTGGAAATTTTTAAGAAGATGTTGGATAACCATTTGTCTGAAGTGGTTTAGGGTTTTCTGCCTGGGCAGGGGGTTGGACTAGAAGCCCCCAAGGTCCCTTCCAACTCTGTCATCCTATCCTATCCTATCCTATCCTATCCTATCCTATCCTATCCTATCCTATCCTATCCTATCGGAATTCACTCTTACAATATCCCCCCTCCCCCATGACCACCCAGCCTTGGTTTATATGCAGCTAAGCATTTTGCTAATATCATAAAATGTAAGGACTGGAAAGGACATTAGACAGGATAAGGAGGAAAAAAATGGTGGGTTAAGTCCATCACCCCAGAAAAAGAAGAACCATATGATTTGGATTTCTTCAGTTCTTTCAAAAATTGTACCTAAGTAGCTTAGATCTCATTCATACCTAAACAATGAAAGAACATTACTATGTAGAGGGCTGATCTTACATGATTTTAATGGCTATCGAAGTAAAGCACAGTCTCACAAACCTAAATTACATTTTTCTCAGCCTTCTCATGCCTTTGAGGAGATATTGTCTGGCTGAATGGTTGAGACCTGTGTTTGGTATTCAGGACTTTAATATTTATTTTTTTCCCCTTGCCCCTTCTTGGAGGAATGGTTGTAACCACTGCAAGAGCCAGATGGATTTAGATTTATAGAGCCCACGTATAGCAACATTTGACTAAATCATTTGGTACCTTAATTCACATTACTACAATGACTATATTCAATATCTTTTCCAGTGATACACTTTACGTAGTGACAGGCAAGGCTACAATCTCATATATTTATGTATTTACTAAACATTGGAGACTGAATACATTTGTCAAAGCAGAAGCAGTTTTTTAAAAAAATGCTAAAGCGCTTTTCTCTTTCTTTGCATTACTTTTTATTTTTCTCTGTAAAATAGGTTAGCTTTCACATATCATTGCTGGATGGCCTCAGACATGAAGGAAATGTTGGACATGGAATATGATTGATTGTTCTGGATTGCTGTGATAGACAAATCACACAAAGATTTTAGATTACTCATTTGGTCCAGGCCTAGTTGTGGTTAATATTGAACCACGATTTGGGCTACTCTTAAGTTGATAAAGACCTTTTTAAACAAACTTCCCAGGACATGCTCTGTGTAATGAAAGTAGAAAGAAATCTTGCTACTTTTACTGTGTGATCCTATTCAACACCGGGGGTTAACAATCATTGGAGCTACCTGTCACATCAAACTAGATGAAAATGTCATAGCTTAAATGTTATTTATTTACTAAATTTCTGTGCCCCCATTTTACCCTAGTGACTGGGCGGTTTACAACAACATAAAGATTTCCAAGTCAAATTAAGTGCTGTGGAGGTTTGAATCTTGTCTCCTTGGTGTTAGTACAATATAAACTACTGAGGTTAGGCTAGGTTAGGATTTTGCCATTACTATATTATGAATGTAGCAAAAGCTTATGAAGCTGCATTAGAAATAGGAGTCAGTGAAATCCAGTAGCTTATGCAATCATGTGGAACACCACATTTTAAAGAATTGCAAGCTCCTTTTAAAAATTGCAAAAGTTCAGGCAAGGAAGTATATTTTGCACAGCTGATACACTGGTTGTACTCTATTGTTGATGGATTGAAGTACTGGTACATGTGTGGTGTAGTGTAGTAGATGCTGGCTGTTTGTGGATAGAACAGTGATAGTTTATATTGCAGGAGTTCTCAAACTGGAAGAACAATTGTGTTTAAGGGTTAGGTTTGCAGCTGTTTAAGTTGGAATTTAAATGGGCATTCAGTTCTTGGCCAGAAGCCAGTCTCTTAGGCTTCAGCCAAAAAGATATGATGGATTGCTCCAGTGGCGCTGCTTCTGCCTTCTTCCTTGTCCTTTATTGAACTGAATTAAAAAGTGGCCTTGACAGTATCACCCAGAAAAGTTTGGCAGAGAGGCTCAGCCCATCTTTGTAATGAGTAATTTAATCTTCCTCTTTTTTTCTGTATTGCCATTTGTATCATCATAAATTTTATATTATTTTCAACGTTATCATAATCCACATAATTTACAAACAGACAATGAAGTATATATATTTTTGTATCTATGTAAAAACTTCTGCCCAACCCATCTGACCCAACTGTGTTTTGGTACTGCTTTCAGATTAGTATTCATGATAGACAGTCATCATATCCAGAATTGTTGACAAGTGAGCAACCTTAAAAATTGATTTAATAAATAAAAATTTCTCCTGACCCTGTTGCACTTCAGATAGCAACCTTTCTCATTTTGTCATTTGAATTACTTGAGCTCCACCAAGCTATAGGTGGGATTACAGTCCTGTCTGTCCCTTTTCTAATATTTCTAGTTCAAATATATTTGGGGTAAAATTATATAAAACGGCTTCAGCATAAAAATGTCCTAAAACCTAAGTAAAATCAAATCAAATTGTTGTTAAAGGAAAACCCAATCTCCTCCCTGAAAAACTTTGAAAATGGGCTGGATTAGACAGAGATCTACAGCTCACTAAATCAGTCAGAACTCTGTCCCAAGATCTCCTCAGTAGTGTGATCCAGAATGGCATATATGCAGTCTGCCCCAAGGTACCTGGTGCACACACACACAAAAGCATATGATCACAACTAATTGAAAGTTGAAAATATTTCCAGACTTCAGTTGCAGAAGCCATGTTCAGTACACATTTGCTGGAATGTGGATTCTGTCTATCACCTCCCTATAATTGGTATAAAGGAGGAAATTCTCAAGGACTGGTTTCAGCTGATTGAGCAATATACATTGATATGAAAATTAGACATTACCCCCAAGTTTTTGTCTCTGCATATACTTTTTCTATCAATTGCTCTTTCATTCCATTTCATTTCTTGCAGTTTTGCACAAGAAACTTGTAAAAGCTCTTGCTGGGTAGCCACAAACAATGCAATCCTTATTGTTGCTGTTCAGTTAGTTTACAGTGAATGAAGTGAATTTACAGTGATTGATTTTCTTTTTGTGTGATTAAAATGTGCATATATCATGATTGAGATATACAAGACAATATGGACGTTCTTAATATATTTTTGTTTACATTTTATCTCTTCCCCTTAGAGGAATGCAGTAGCATGGATAGTTGATGGTGAATTTGGAGCAGACGACTTCTGTTTAACTTAAATTTAGTCGTATTTTAAATGGCTTGGGATTTGGTGCAAACAAACATGATTGATAGCTGGACAGACATGCTCATCATGAAAATGAACCATTTTTTAAGCCCGACTGGGGCCAAACATTTTACCACCTTGCTTCATAGTAAACAGTTGAGATGAAGCACGTCGTTAGAACGTTGTTGGACACCATGTTGAAGTAACCCCCCATCGGTTGTGAAGAACTGTGCTACATTCAGGCTAACCATTGAACTCCGTATATACATTTTCCCCTTCTGCCATTTTGTCAGGCAGACTACTGTTCTTGTTGCTCTTCTGTGTAATGAAGTTTAAATGCTTGTTTGGAAAACCTTTTATTTAACAGTTTAGAAAGCTTGATAGAAAGAGTGCTTTAGTCTGAAGAGTACATGTTGGATAGGAAAGTAATTTCCTTCTCTTGTTTCTCTGAGTCTGCCTTATTTAGCTCGAGATCTTTGCAGCTTGGTTCATGGATTCTAGCCTTGCCCGTTGCGCAGTATATCCAAATCCAGATGTAAAACCAGTGAATGACATGAAAAGCACTCTCAGTATCACACTTGACAAAAAGGTTTTGTACTTTTCACGTAGCTTGTAACCCTATAAATGGGTGAACAGCACAAATTTTTTTAAGAATAAATTATTTATAGCATTAAAATGACTTTGATTTGTATACTTTGGAAAATAAACCAGCTTAAAAAGTGTCATCTACAAGTTAATGCAGTATAATTGGTGCTCCTTCTGAGTGTTGTGTAAGACCATTTGGCTAGCAGGAGTTTTACACAGATTATATAAAGTATTATTTAAAAACAAACCTTTGTTTACCAACATAATAATTTGAAAGCTTTCAGAGTCACCAATAAAACTATTACAATGTAATTTCTGAAGTTAATAAAATGAAAATTCCAGATTGGCTAAAACTTGTGCAATGATTCTTATTTGAAACAAAAACTAAAATGGGAATGGGATAATATTTTAGGATCAGTTTCCAAAATTAGTGGATTGACTTTGTGAATTTAAATATGTACATTATACAAGTGTTCCACATAATGTTCACCCGATAATTGTTTTCTCAGGGGATGCTTGTTAATAGTTTGATGTTAGGAATGGGTTGTTGTCTTTAGTTTTTATATGCAACCCCCCCCCCCAATGGCCTGGTATTTGACCTATATAACTGTTTTTAAATTAAAAGATGGAAGGACATAACCTCTGTGTAACAATGAAATAATAACAATTCATGTAGAAAAAAATCAAGCCCAATCAAGCTAAAATAAATCGAAAGCTCTTTAATTTTGAGGAAAGTCCCATATTTGGAAGAAAATGTACATTGCTTGAGTTTAAGCATGGTCTTTAATACTCAGATTCTGTGATAAGCAATCACAGTCAGTGCACTTCAGTGTATTTCTTAACTCAGATTTAGCACGTGCTTATCTTCATAGCATATGATTTAAATCAGTTATGTCTCACAAAATTTATTTTAACTCTACCAAATTAGGAAAGCTGGTACTCCAATTACTTAATGTAATAACTTAGTTTTTATAACTCAAATGACAAAAAATGTTTTAGAAGACCAGGTTTACAGAAATCTTTTAAAGTAACAATGCTTTCCTTTTATGTTCTCTAATAGATTGAACTCTATATGTGGCTCATTTTATTTCAATTCATTTTATGGAGTAGTGTTTCTTTATGTTTGCTATAGTCAATTCATATATATATTCTGTTCATTTGACATTATGTTCTTTTATTTGAAATTGCTTAATAGTTATTTTTGAGCTTCTGCAATTCTTATTTATTACAGATACTTGCAGATACTCCCATTCAACATCTTGAAATGCTTTACATCTCTAACCAACATGGTACTGGCACTAAAATTGCTTATTAACTCAAAACTATTTTAGAACATTAGAGCAAAAAATCAGGAGTGGCTGAACCTGAAACAATTTGCATAATTTAATTTCTTCGGGTTATTCAAAACAATCTGGTGGTTTGCAAGTAAAATTTCATGCATAGAATTTAATGAACATGTTTGAACCTATAGTTTACCCTTCTTTGAAATATAATACTAAGGGGAAACTAAATTAAAAGCACTGAAGTTGAGCACATTACTTATGAGTTTACTTCTAAGGAATTCAAAAAATACATATAAAAGCATTTCAGAATGGAAATGAATAAGAGTCATGTTTTGAAAGTGCCACTTCTAAATGTCACTGCATAATGTAAGCTATGCAGTTCTTAAGTAGCAGCTCTAGATGTAGAATTATCATTTGTTGCCAGGCTCAACTTCCTATGACTACATTGTGAGACTAATTTGTCCAATTGTCTCACAGTGTTAACACTGCTAGAACTTTTTGTGGATGGACAAACATACCAATATTTCTGGCATGTGGATTGGAAAGCATCTGTCACTTTTCATATAAACTAAAAACTAAATTCATCATTGTAAAAAGATATGGAAGAGGCGTATCTGCAATATTCTTATTTTCATACAGTAGATATTTCTCAATCTCAGCTGTAAATTCTAGAGTAATCATTAATTGTTCATACAACAGAGATGATCTATGAAAACATATTAGCATTTTGACCATCTATTCCAAACTAGGCACACCAACCATAAATTATCTTGCCACAATGCTTCTCATCTTTATCAGGTAAGTCACTTTAAAAATAGCACAAAAGAGAAAAAAGAATTTAATTTTTATGTAGCCCATAAATAGCCTTGTAAATGTGTAGCTAGCTTTCCTCAATTTTAAAATGAGGGGGAACACAAAAAGTTAATATGGAGTCACAGGTGGAAAATTACCCATTTTTCCCAATAATTTCATTCTGACTTCCAAACTGGTATTGTTGAATGACATTTAAATAATGCTAGGTGTTTAGTGCCATGTTAACTACAAAAATCTCCCACCCTTTTAAAATGGCTTAAAATTATTTCTCATACTAATTTTATGCTGGCAATAGATATATTAGGGAAAGGAGAGTTAGTAACCTTTTTAACAGCAGAAGAATGTCTTAATTTGTAATTTGGGGCAGAAAGGGAAAATAAACCAATTTTCAGTAAGATTTGGTGCCCTTTATCTGTACCCCAAAGCACACAGGTTGCCTCGGATTGATGCATTTCAGATAAATTACTAACCATGTATCGTTAATACTCCATATATGTAGATATATATGTATCTATATATATAACTTGCATTGGCTTGCATCCATTTTCAGCTGCCATACAACAAACCACTTGTATGACACATAATTATAATTTTGGAAACATTTTTGAATAGGGAGGACTTAACTGATGTGTGCAGTGTTGTCTGCAATAGCTGCTCTTGTTGCTGGAACACAAACTAGAAACCTGTTTGCTACTTGCTGACTTCATGTAGAAGAATTCAGCAAAGTGTGTATGGTATGAATGTGTGTGTAAAACAGAATCAGTCATGGAACCAACTAGGTACATGTCATGTTTTACTGAATAATTTTAAGTCATGTTGTGTGTATTTGTCTTGTCCTCTAACATTAAAATTTGGTTAATACAAATATATTTTTATAAATTTGAAGTACAGTGTGCCCCATTTTTTAAGTGTTTCATTGTTAAAAAATAAGTGTACTAGATTTGATTCTTAACACTTACTGGCACAGATGGAAAAAGCTATTGGCTCCAAAAATGTAAGAGGAAGAAACATTCTCAAAGTGTGTGTGTATTTACAAACCAAGCTGTAGAGATCAAGAAAAGAACTTTTACTGTTCTCAAATTTCTAAATTGTCAAGATTTATATGGAGTTGTGGTGGAACTAGTTAACACTTAGAGCTTTTGGTATGTAATGACTATTTGCTATGGACTGATATTAAATGTTTCAAAGGATTGCGTTATTAAATTTTCTGGATTTTGTTACTTTCCTCTTGAATTATATTAAGTAGTTTAAATTTCTTTTATGACATTAAAACATGAATTTTGGGGCTCCGTATTTATTTTCACTGGTTTTACTAATTTATGGGGCACATTAATTTTTTATTTTATAAATATGTAGTATATTAAACATATCTTAAATCGTTCAAGTCAAGCTACATTAATTCCTGATTGTCTATTGGAGTTTTTTTAATTAAACTTTTCCATGTTGGTGCACAGCACTTAACAAATATTTGTATTCCCTCTTTCCAGTTCAATAAACAAAATAAATAACTGGATTTGATTAGTTCTTAGCTTTATAAGCTTTGACTTCATTCTAGAGAGGAACAGAAGTTCCTTTCCTTTCTAAGATGTATTCACATATGATCATGCAACTGCTCAATCCATGAATATCCAGCAAGATTTCTTGTGACAATGGATCCCATACTGCTCAGACTTAAGCTGAGTTACTCACTTGGAGCACAAAGCCATCCCCATAGATCTTATGCTACAAAAGCTAGACGGCAGCTGTCTTAACAGGCAAGCAACATCAGGCTGTTGACTGAACCAGTGGCTGTAGGTGTGATCTTCAGCTTGGAAGATAGCAATCTGTATTGAACTGATTATAGTACCAAATGTCCAACAACAAATAGGATTGCAGTTACACTGCACAGCTTCAATTTAGATGTGGCTTACTGCCATTATAATACAGGCAAACTATGAATACATATATTCATAGGTCTCACATAGGTGCTACAATATTTCGTGAAGTACTTTCTTAAACACCTCATATATACACTGAACATATTTCAGCCTTCAGTTTAAAAAACACAAAAGTGAACCATATTTAAAATGTTGCCTCTAGGAAAGAAAACATTGGTCATTTGTCTCTGGTAAGCTTCCTTTTATATAATAAAATCTTCTTCAATGTAATGGTTATAGCTGCTGCTTCACTGTAATAAGTGAATTTGCTCCATTGGGTAACCAGTATTCTTGCATAATCTTTACATAAGAATTAAATACAGTAAGAAAATGGATTTGAGTAAAAACAAAACAATAGTTGCAAAAACATAGTATTGTAGTTTCTAAAATATTTTATATGTTAAAAATACAGCAAAAATATGTTTTGTTCAAAGAGGAAAAAATATACTGCATGACACTGGTCTGGATTTTCTTGAGAGTTGCTCGTGGCTTCATAGTATTTCAATGGAGTAACATCAATTTGGCAACCATAATACTTCATTTGGCCACATTTCAGTCATTTATTAAAGACAGGATCATACTATAAAGAGTGAAAAAAGAGACCATGTCAAAAGGTGTAGAGCTTGAAATAAACATGATTGCTCCTGAAATTATGTCAGCAAAACTCAATGCTTCTGAGGGGACAGAAAAGCGTATTTTTAACAAATCCAAGATCTATGGAACTACAGATCCTATTTGAAGTAAAGTGGCATATAATCAATTAGATTTCCTAGTTTAAAATAGTATCCCCATCAGAGGCAGAAAATGTGGCATAAACAAAGTCAAGTGTAGAACAGTTTGGGATATTTTATGATGAATAATATTGCTTCCACTAAGGCTCTTCCAAAGAGTTAAACCACATTAAAATTATAACAGACTATTCTAGTAGGAATCTTAAGAATAGCTTTACTAACCTTAAGATGCAAGCCTTGAAACTTACCTGTAAAGATACATGAAGAAACAAAGGAGATGAAAACCAAGCTTTATCATGGCCTCCTTCATGTGTGATTTTAGCTGCCCTCTGTTGTGGATTTCTGTAGGGTCAAATACTCCCATGTTTCCACTGGGAACCATGATATACCTAAAATGGTTTCAAGAAAATTGTTTCAGTACCAACTCTGCTCCAGCCCAATAGATTAATGATCTCCATATCAAAAAAGACAAAACATGCAAAACAAAATGAAACTGAATTGGTGGTTGAGTTCTTTCAAACAATACATAACATTTAAAAGTGTTGCATATGGGTTTCAGAAGAGTGAAACAAAAAAATGGTTCAGTTTTGAGCTCCTAGCATTACTCAAATGCTGTCTGTCAAGCCTCTGAAGCTGTAAATAGCAGGACAAACAAATACCCTTGTGCAGTGGAGATGCATTACTGTCATTAATCAAAAGACATTTCAAATCGGATATGCCAGCGCGTGTTTTCTCCAATAAATATGAATGCCTGAATTTGCCATGTTAAAATTTGCATGCAGCTTTCAATCAATCTTAAGTCATCTTTAAAAGCTTGGGCACTGTTTAGAAATGGTGAGCTCATTAGCATATCATTTGTTAAAATATTTAACTTATTAAACTTTAAAATTCTACATTTAAATCACTGACATTTTCTATTCAGTGTATTGCATTAGAAATAAATATATGCATAAAAAACTTGAGATATTTAAAACAATATCCTATGCTTTTTATTTGCTTACTAAATATAAAAATGACTTAGCCCAAAGTCAATTCAAAGCAGAAATATTGCATTTTTCTTCTTCCAGGAAATCCACATCCAAAGAAATTACCAGCACCTTGATTTGCTCCAAAAGTGTTACAGTCTCAAGCATTATTATGTAGCTATGTATATGAGACCTTATGCATCTTATATGCATCCTAAATTAGAAGTGTTGCCAAAATCGAAAAAATAAAAATAAGTACATTTATTAGAGGCAAAATTGAAGCATGGGCTGTAACTTGCAAGCAGAAAATCTTAAAAGGAATTCAACTTTCTCCTTTTTTCCTTTAGGAGAAAGCAAAGTTGATAAAATTCCAAAAGTAGTGGCTCATGCCCTGTGAACATTCAAGATATGTACTTTGTTAGATTTATATCCTGCCTTCCAGAAGCCTTTTATTTTTACATCCAAAACCACCCTATGAACAAGGTTGAGCTGAGGGAGACTAGTCCACAATCTTCCAGTAACTTTTACAGCTAAGAGTAGAGCGGAATCCAAGTATTTCCAGTCCTTGTTCAATGCTTAGCTACTAATTACTATATTACTAGGTATTTTTGTACCAACAAATATGATACTTGCTCCTGGCAAAATACAAAAGTGATTTTATACTGTTTTCTTCTCAGGATTGGATAGGTTTTGAGTAAGATCAATGATGCACTAGATTTTCACATGATCCTTGCTAAAAGTCATGATCCATGCTAAAAGAGTTTAAAAGTGTTTTTAAACTCAACACTTTTAAGATACAAAAGTTATATATGCACATATACTCCTTGGGACAAGGAAAGTCTAGTATATCTATTGTTGCTGTTATCCAAAGTCCATGCTAAAATCCAGTGAGAAAGGAAAAGTAATATTACATTTCTATCACTTCCTGCTAACATGGCTGGAGTAATAAATTATGGAACAAGGCAGAGTTTATAAAAATGCTTGTTCATTAAGAGAGGAAAAAATATGAACAACATCATGCAATTCTTAAGCCATCAAAGGTCTTACCTGTATATGTTCCACGTTGCCACAGGAAAGTTGAGGAGGAAGATGAACCAGTGCAGTGAAATAAGCATTAATACAGTGACAATGGTATGCCCAATCAATTCAGGGATCACCCACTAGAAAGATTTTTAAAACAGTAAAGTAAAAACCTTTATAAAGATTCAGCAGGAATCTTCTACCTGCAAGCTGACAAGGGCTGCAAAACTCTTATTTGATTAAAAAGAATCAGTAATTGATCTCTAGTGGATGGTTCAGATATAAATTGCAAGTGCAATTTGCAAATTATGGATTATTTTCTAGGATATCATCAGAATATTTGGAATATTATTTATGAGAACCTGATCAGCATATCTAATATGATCAATAAGGAATATCAGCAAGCAACAGTCTCGAGTTAAATCCTATATATTCAACACTTCTGGGTAAACCAAAATGCTAGTAACAGGTTTATATATTTCAACCTAATTTTCAAATTAGATTTATTTTTCATGATTAAGAATTTGCTACCCATCAATTTGAATTCTTGCATCAAGATGGTACTATAAAAAGGGTAAGTATATACATTTGACATATGGTAGCAATAGATTCTAATCCATGGCAGGTTGTTAAATAAAATAGTTTATTAAAAAAGTCTTATTCTAGACAACTCAAAGGTGACTGACAATAAACTTGTTAATAAGAAGGCAAGAACAAAAATATATTCTGCAAGCAAGCTACACATAAAATACTGAGATGCTGCAAGAGGAGAAGACTACACATAATAAGCATTCAGCAAAGAAAGGGAAATGTAGTGTATGAAACACTGAAGGAAAAAAATACAATACAAGGAATAAATACAAGTGTCTGAGACTCATGTAGGCAATCCAGATTCTAGCAGTAGGTCTCCATGATGAACATTCTTCCCCACAACAATAATTCATGTGTTTTGTATTAAGAAAACTATATTAAGGAAGCAATTCTAGGTTCACTGTGGTTCCTCTCTGAATTAACAATACAGGTAGTCCTTGATTTAAGACCAAGGAAAGCCGTTAAGTAACTTTTTAGAACTTTTTGCCATGGTTGTTAAACAAACTGTGCAGTTGTTAAGCAAGTCTGGCTTTCCCTATTGACTTTGTTTGGAATCCAGCTGGGAATGTTGCAAATGGCAATCACATTACCCCAGGACTCTGCCATTATTATAAGTACATGCCAGTTGCCCAGTGCCCAAATTTTAATCACGACTGAGGATGCTGCAACAGTTCTAAAATCAAGGACAGGTTGCAAGTCACTATTTTAGTGCCATTATAATTTAGAACAGTCACTAAACGAATGGTTGTCAGTCAAGGACCACCTGTAGAAAGGAGATTATTTTTGAAAACTTTTCGATATAATTTTGAAACAAACTAATGATATAATTTTGAACTGCAATTTCACAATATTTTGGTAGTGAGGCTGATGGGTTAATTCAAAATCTCTGAAGAACATAAGTTAACTACTACTGCTCTAGAAAGACATCAGTCCAAAGCACTCTTTAGTGTGTTTATGAATTACATATAATCACAATATAC